TTTAGACCCTGAAAACAATTCTGTTTTTAAGTCCTGAATTTTTCTGCTATAATTTTTTTCCAGAATACCACTTATTTCTAATCCCACTTTTTGACCCTCTAACTAGTATTACCTTAAAAAAAAAAAAAGAAAAAAGAAATCTCCCATTTACACTATATATTGTCTCAACCTCTGAAGGAAAGCAGTATGTTAAATTTTGTTTTCATGGGAGAAGCTTGATCCTGGGCTGAGGAAATATTCCCTCATTCACCAAAAGCAGGTCAGAAATAGTCAGCTCTAGATTTGTATCAGAACAACAGAACAATAGAATTTTCTCAGACTTTGCATAAGGACTCAAAAATAAGCAGATTTAATTAATTTTAACATGACTATGGGCAAGCATTTCTTTTAATAAAATCCTTTCAGAGAGGAGCTAACCTCACAACTTCATTATGATGGTTAAACCCAAACAGCAGATAAGCAAAACCTCAGCAAGGGTTCAGATTAGCCCAAATCATTTGATCACGATGAGTCAGAAGGCGAATTAAGGAATCTTTTGTTTTGCCTTAAAATGTCACGGTATAAACTGCATCTGCTCAGGAGCTGACTCACAAGACCCTCAGACAATAGGGTAGCAGGGGCAAGGAAAGGACTTGGGGAGATAACCTCCACAGCCAGCCCTGGCCGGAGTGTGCATGCTCATCAATTATAATCCAAGCTTTTGAATGCAAGAGAATAAACCATTGGTTCGGCTTTGCTAAATCAAATCTTTTTTGCTGGGTTTTAGAATTTGGAAATCAATACTTTAAAAGGATTTTAAAATTCATATTCGCCTTCCCTTTGACTCATCTTGTTTCAGCTAGTTCAAACACAAGAAAATGGATGGTCAGCAAACCCTAAGCAGCTGCTGGCTGGATGAATATCTAAAAATCACACTATTATCTATACTATCCAACCCTCACAGTTCAGAAAAATGAAAGTGGGAAGACCTCATAATTTTTTTAAAATTTTTTTTTGGTGCCAGAATCACTCAATAAAAATGTCTTGCAATATATCACACTTTTAGTCACTACAATCAGCCTGCGGGAAAGACATGAAATGAGAAAATTCTCAACTTTTCTCTAGATCACACAAAAAGAAAAAAATCTGATCAGCTCAGCATTACTGCGAGTTTGGGGTGAAGAAGAAACATCAAGTAGACTAAATCTAAAGCATCTTGTCTTCCATAGTAACAAAGGATAAAACTTGTAAATACATCAGGAACATTGAAATTCTCAGTAGAAATCAGCCTCAGAGGAAATCAGCCAGTCCCTATAAAAATCCAGCAAGCATTGTTATCTACAAAAACAATCCATTATAATTTTTTGTATTTATTTAAATAATCAAAATGCACATGGGTTGAACAAAATCACGTCTCAGCTTCTAACTCAAAACTAAAGCTTGTCCTAAGATGGCTGTCACTGAAATGTGAGGTGATTTGGTAACTGTATTAAAACTTTAACACCCATGTACAAATAGTTATCATAGTTAAATAGGTGCCGTGGTTGAAACATGTTAAATAATATTAAGATATGTTACTGTAAGGCCAGATTCAACACTGTTTCATGTTTCTTATTGCCTTGATGGATATAGGATCAGAGTCTCTGCATATCACAGAATCAGAGAACACCGGGTTGGAATAGGACCTCAAGGATCAACTTGTCTAATCTTTCTAGGCAACAGCATATGAAACTAGGAAGAAAAAAAAAATACAGTAATAAATGACATGATAAATAGCTACATTTATTATTGGAACAATGAAACAAAAGGATCTACTTGGCATTGTAACTCCCAGCTGACATGACACTGGAATGACAGCACTGGACAGACACTGGTGCTCTCTGCCTATTCCAGTATCTCAGATTATTTCATGTGGCTGTTAGGAAAAGTGCACAGATGCAATCATTGCATTTGCTGCACCGGAGACAGTGGAATTTATTAAGAACCTCCCCCAACAGCAGATCTGTCCCAGTGCCCCTGTGAGCTCCTGCACATCCTTCCACCAGCTCAATTCACCTCTCAAGTACACCTTTGGGAGCATTTCTGCCCTCGTTACCAACTTTTACTGTTCTGCAAGTGCCCTGAGCTGAATTTAAAATTTTAAAATTTTCGTTCCTCAAAATTCCCTTCATCAGAGGAGTTGGAGCCGTCAAATTGATGTGGCAGATGTCAAATACAAAATCCGCCCCAGCTTGGTTTCTTTTGCCCTGCTTTAGTTTTTAGGAACAGGTCCCTTGTTGGTGGCTTTCAGCTTCTAAAATAATATGAGGGTTGGCAACAACAGAGTAGTAGAAGATATGAATTTATAACGCGTTTAATAGACTAAGTGTTAGCACTAATTCAATGAGCAGGAGAAGAAATTGTAAATGACAAAGGCATTTACAGTTAACTGTCTAAGAGAATGCAGGGAAGTAAATCATTACATGATAAAAGAGCTCCTTTGCCCAACCTATTAAAGACCCCACTAAAGAGCCAAGGTATTTATTGATTGCTTTCTACTTTCCCACTGCTGAAACTAAGTGCTCCTCTATTTACTTTGATTTAAAAATGCATTATTGTCTACTTTCTAATAAACCAGACCACGGAACAAGAAACTCAAATTATTCTAAGTTTATTCTTAAAAGTCCGTGGTGGTTTTTTTCGGTTGGGTTTTTTTTTTGCCTTTTTTTTTTTTTTTTTTTTTTTTTTGAAAGACTGAAGGCCTTAATCCTTAAAAGGCTTTTTGAAAGAAGGGTTCCTCGATGCTGGCCCTGCAGCTGGGCCCAGATTGAAAGTGCACTTACATTTTTATGTTCAGCGCTGAAGGACTCTGAAGTTAGCCCTCGCACTGCACATAAAAGCTTTGGAAAGGGCATTCTTTGCCACTCGTGCAATTCATTCTCTAAGAAAAGGAAATGGAAAGAAAGATTTCATGTCCAGGGCTTCAGGCCTTTGATCATTTGATGAACATTGGATCCTCAACCTGGGCCTCCAGCTTCTCAGGCCAGACAAAGAGCGCCCCGGCCGCACAGGCTGGGCCGCGGCTCCCGCCCGAACAAAACCTTTGGCGGCCGCACAGTGTGACAGCCTGGGAAAGGCCCACCTCAGCAGGGCTGAGATGCCCGCTCTGCCCTTTGATCTTTCATTTAAACTCCAGCCAAAGCACCAGGTCAGGGGATTTCGCGTCGCACACCCCCATGGGCAGAGGGGAGCAGGTCAAGAACAAAATGGGGGTGACCGATCTCCAAAAAGCCCTGTGACGCCTTTCTCTGGCCAGTTTCACATGACTTGTCTGGCATTGTGCAGCGCTAAGCCCACACTTAAAATGGAATTTGACATTACATGGTACAATGGAGTCAATAAATGGCATTCTTCAGTGCTTTTACAACAAAGTCAACCCTCCCTTAAGTGGCTGAAAGCCTCGAGCTAGAAAATACTCCTCATTTACTTCTATATGCCAATAAATTGCATATAGTTTAAATCTAGTTTTCATTATGGCTTCTCACTGCTGATAGCCGAAATGAGTGAACAAACACTTAACAAAGGTCCACATTAATTTTATGATGTACCATTGCTTCTATTTTTAAAGTCTACGTTGTCACGTGGCAAGTAACAAGCATTGGAAATATCTCCATATTCCTTCACAGAGCAAAAACCTATTTTCCAACGAGCATGAAAAACTAATCTCATCCCACTGAAAAATTTATTTTCAGTACAGCGCAAAGGAGAAGGCAAACATACAACTTCTTTTAGCATCAGTGGCAAGTTCCACATGATGCTTGCGGGCAGAAAATTCAGTCCATGTTTGATGAGACATGTTAACAAAATCTGGAGAGAAAAGAAAGAAAAGCTAAAATCTTCTTTCTAAAGGGACCGGATACCACCATGTCCCAGAGGACTGGAATATTCAGGATGCAACAGCAGATGACTGCAAAGCATGGAGAGTATTTTTAAACTACATATAAAAGTACGTTTGTGTTAGAAGATATTAAACACTGTAAAGTGATTAGAATTCAAAGAACTAAATATTGTTTTTCTCTATAAATTTGTATATTTTTACAACTAATCCTTTTTCATTAAATACACGTGTGGGTATAATGCTAGATCTGGCTTAAGAACTCAGGTTAAGAATCAATAAAGGAAAATTTATTTTTGTTTATTTGGTCAGGTTTACAGGCTCACTCTCATCCTCCTTTCTTCTGAAGACAGTATCAGCATTAAAAATATGGTCAGTTCTAACAAAGATGATTTCCGAGTATCTCAAGTACTTCCCACCATGCACAACTTACCAATCAAGAAAAAAAATAAAAATGAATGGTCCCAATCTCTAGATAATCTATAGATTGTTCATTTTAACAAACAAGTTTATGTTTAGTTGACAGATTATTTCCCACATCATAAAATTACACATCACAGATGAGACTTCTAAGAAACAGAAAAGTTAAATACATTGTTCAGTATCAAAGAGATAGTGCCAGAACTGGCAATGGAGATTTATTTTCAGTTCTCTGTCCTGTTCACTACAGTCTTTTTCCTTGTAAGAAACAAATCTGTGCCAGACACGAGGCCCTGTCTGGCACCACCACTTCTACACGCGTTGGTGGCAATGGGCAGCTCCAAAAAAGGAAATAATCACATCTGACCGTCATGGTGGGGCAGGTAACACCCACATGGGCAACAGCCATGACACAGCCTGGGACCTAGCTCCTGTAACCACTAAATTAGGGTTGCACAGCCCCAAGGCATCTCTTGTAAAAACTGTAATAACTATTTTAAATGATAAATTCAAAAATTCAAATACTTCTCAACAGCACAAACACACCTCTCATTCACAAAGCATTTGCGTTTGGTATGAAAATAAAACTACAGAACATTCAGGAAAGAGTACAATTTGCCTCTAATTTATTCTCAGATTTTCTGTGAATATTGCTCCCCCACTGTTGTCATGGCAACACAAGCACATATTTCAGCTCTGAGGAAGTAACAAGCCTTTTGATTCTCACCTTTGGCCATTTTATTGAGAACCATGTCAATTAGAATGTAGGTTCCACTTCTTCCCGCACCATCGCTGCCAACAGAAAAGGAAAAAGAAAAAAATAAAGCCTATCAGTGTGCATCTAGACTCAGCATGAAGGTACCTGTCCTTAACGTTACCGTGTTACACTTGGTGCGAGAGGAGAGAATGAGGGGTTAAAGGAGGGTACTGAGAGGAGAGAAAGCTTGCACTGAATAAACACAAGCTGCTTGTGGAAGATTAACTACTACCCTGCATGGATAACAGGGATTTGTTTTGATTTTTCAAGTTTATGCAAGAGAAACATTTTAAACAACAGTGGAAAATCCTAAACCAGGATACCATTTCTATTAAAAAAGTGTACATATAATTGACCTTACAGTCACTAATATATGAGATGAAGAACTCAGAGTAAGTTTGACTAGAACATTATCCAGAACAGTTAAAAATGCTCCAGATTGCATGTGACCACAGTGATCACAGGGAATGCAGAGATCTGCTCAAGAACAAATATTTAATTACTGAGGACTGCAATTTTTCTTCACTATATATGAGCGGTTTGTTTTTTTTTGCACTGTATCTTTCCCTTTAATTGTTCCCTAGTAACAATGACCAGAAAGAAATATTATCTTGTAATTTTAAGAAATAGCTTTAACTTTTGTGTATCCATAGTCCTTCCTCAGAGATGTGAGACCAAGCCTCAGGAGGAGGAAAGCTCCCTAATCTGAATGCAGCTTGTGTCCCTTTCAGAGAGCAACGTGTAATTGCCAGCGTGATGCTCTTTTAGAGCTGCTGTTAGCAAACATAATTAAGACTTTAAGTAAAAGCTTTTTCTTCTTTCCCTCCCCAAAATTTTTACAAAGGTGCATGTGTGACCCATTAGGCTGGTATATAGTTCTATTAATTAAGACATTATTTTTATTGATAGCTCAATTTGTGTAAAACAATTAATGAAAGAAAAAAAATAATAGAACAGCATGAAGCACGTTATTGTATTCTGTTTACAGTCAGGCTATGAAACTTAATTTCTGTAGACAGATTTTTTTCTTTCAGTTACTAGATCACTATTTAGAGAAAAGGAGCTAGTGGTAATAATTTTTTTTCTCTGTCTGTGAAGGGAACAAAGACACAATCTTATTAGTTAAGCTGAATAATGAGAGACAAGACAGCAATCAGGCCCAATAAAAACAAAAACTCCTGAGCTCATGGTAGATATTTCCATCCATCCCAGTAAGGAAATAGCAGGAAACATGAAGGTTCTTCATTGTGCATCAAATAGCTCCTTTCTGATGTTTCCTGAAGGCAATGCAGACAAACCCACTCTGGAACATTCAGCTCCTGGCATCCTCACGTGAGAAACACATCCCCTCCCTCCTCACTCCCATCCAAAGTGAAGTGCACATGGCAAACATCCTGCCTCTTAGCAGGGCTCTTTTCTGTCTTCATTATCTACAAGGATATTTTTGATAAATAAGTCAGAACCCCCAGTGGCAAAACCCAACATTAATGTTATTATGGTAAACTTTTCCACTGAACTGCCTGACAGCTTTAGTGTGCATCTATCATGTTGTCAGGCCTAAAAATACTCTGTGCTTAAGGAATTACTCAATCCATGGGCAGCCTGGCATTGCCCTCTTCTTACCCTGATCACTAAAAACAAGTAAAGAAGAAATAAAACATAATTAAGTGTTAATAAAATAAAGCAGACTAAATTGGGAGGGCATGCAAGGAACACCTGTAATTTTGAAGGAGATGTATGAAACTGAAGTGCTACTTATACTAGAATAAGTGTGGCCATATGTTGTTATGCCATGGCTCAACATCTAAAAAGTTATATGGAACAATAAATTTGTGATGAAAACAGATCCTAAGTATTAAATAGCATTAAAACTCAATTGAGTTATACTTAAAACTTTTAGCCTACCTCACTGTTTAGTGATTAATGTAAAGCTTTAATTTGCCCATTTTGTTTATATCTGTGTTAAATTCTTGCATATACAGAGCTCTCTAAAGCTATTTTAGAAATTGTACTTGCCTGCAATGAACAACTACTGGACAAGAGCGACCCCTGTAGCACTTGTTTACTTTTCTGAAATAAAACAGACACAAGAAATTAATTAAGCATATTATATACTGTTTCTTTTGCCAACTGTCAAAAATAAGAAATAAGAAAATGCAAATATTACTGTCTTTGAATAAATACTCAGGTTGATAGTTTCCTAATATAACAAGCAACTAGGTAGATAATCTTTAAAGTTTGATTCTGGTTTACTGCCCAAGAAATCCCAGAAAACATTCCATTATTACTGTTGTCCTGGCAAAACAAATGAGCTATTTTCTCAAATGGTTCATTTCTTAGCTGCAAAACTATGATTATCTTAAGATGCCTTGATTTTGAGGAAAACTTTGAGTTCATGAGCTTACTCAAGGAATATCAAGGGTCATCAAACTGAATAAAAATTTTTAAAAGGCTATTCCACTACACCTTGTACAATGTGCGCTGATCTGTAGCATCACTTCTTCCCAGAAAGGCAAATGCCAAATCTCCTGAAACACTTCTTAAAAATTCTAAAATGTAATCTTACCATAGTAAAAATAACTAAACCCATCAGTACGCTTTGGTTCTACTGCTTTGGTTCTACTGCAGAAGTGTTATATATTTAATATTTACACATTGTTGTCTTCGACAGCTTCCTGATTAAACCCTTTCAGTGGCAAGAGAATATATGTGAAATCAATCAATAAAAGTACAGCCACAGAACAGGTCAGCTGATGTGTAAACTCTATGAAGGAATTAATTAACTAGTGCTGAAGTAAAGCAAGATACTCATTCTAAGAATAGAGCCCACAAAATTGGCTTAAATCTATTTAAATTGCCTTAAAAACACCAAAATCCCAAGCCTTCTCTTTTGCTCTAGGATATATTTTGCATGTCAAGAACATCGCAGGCCAAAATCCCGTAAAATATGCACACATATGTTAACAAGGCAAGATGAATAAAGGCTAAAATAGGAAAGCATTGCTTCAAGAAATCAAAACCTTTCATTCAAATTATTTGATGAGATGTTTGAGATTACTGGAGCTAGAAGGTCTCCTGTAAAATAATTTCATAGGGCAGCTGACAAGGGGTGCTCTAATAGTATAAGGTGTGCTCCCCAGCTCAGTGTGTTACACGGGATCCTGATAACTAAAGGGAGCTGCCGAAATCTGACAACAGTGGTGTGATGTTATTATGAATTTTAAAGCATAACTAACCTACTGAATCATTTAGTTCTTGGCTGTTCATCTATTCACTAACATCTGTGCTGTGAAAACATGCACATATCTTTAAACACTGCTTACAGTATAGCCTGAAGATGCCTAAACTTCTGACAGGGTGTTGGGATACCTGGAACTCAACCCAAATGGGCTATGGAGGTATTGGTGATATCCCATGAAACCATGTTATCATATTCTTATTTTTGTTAGTTCAGATTCTAACCAAACTTGAGAACAATATTAAGTTCTTGTTGGGATTCCCTTTAGACATTTGAATTCAGGGACTTTTCACAATTCTTACTCTTTTGCTTACTTATGTAAATCATACTTGCAGAGACATTCTGTCTCTATTTATATTCACTGGATGTAAGTAATTAGTGCAGTAGAACGATGCTCTTATTAAATGAGTGGTAAGTCATTGAGAAGAACATGACCTCAGAAGTTAAATGGACCATTTATATGTCCATAAATATATCTATATGCAGGCAGTAACAAACAAAACTTCAATGACTTGGGCTACAGCAGAGTTTTCACAGGAATAAACCATTCAAATTCTGACAGTCGTATCATGAGGATCAGGTCCTTCTTTATGATACAATGCCTGGTTTGGTTTTTTTTTTTTTTTTTTTTTTTGTATTGTACAGTAAATTATATTTGAAATGTCTGTACCAACATCTGAAACAGTCAGCCTGCATTCCCCAACTTGCTGCTGGTCACTGTCCCCCCACCCCCATCAAGTGCATCAGTGAAGAGTTGTTTTTCCATTTCAAGTATTAAATAAAAGCTAATCACAACAGGGGGGTATTTACCGTTTCTCTTTCTGCTTGTGTGGTTCCTTTGTTCCTTGCGTGGCACCACTAATATGATATTTGCATGTTGTGACTAGCCATCTACCAAAGTCCTAATACCATTTCAATGACAAACTCGATCTAAATCTATCAGACCTCTCAGTAAATCAGACAGCCAGAGACACATGTTAGGGAAAGACACCTTATGTTTGTCAGTTTTATTGAAGGCGTTTCAAACATTCTCATTATCACACATTTCAGAAAACACATTAAAACAAAGGGTTTCAATCCAGCTGGTTCATAGCTTTGTCTATATATAGCTTATGAAAATATTTAGAAGTGCAGCAACATCTCATTTCATTCTTAGTTCTGGCTAATGAGAGTGAGCTGAAAATTCATCAGTAAGCAAAGTTCTTGAATGTTGAAGAAAATATATATTTTATATATATATATACATATACAGGAAGAATTAACTTAGAAAGAATGATTAGTAATACAAACCAACCCTTGGCTCATTGAGTGAAAAAGAAATCATCATGCAAACCATCAGCAAGCAAAGGTCAGAGGTCGTTAGAGGCTCAGAAAAGGGGTTTCCCACATTGTCCCTGCAGCAGAGTCACAGTTTCCAATGATCACTTTTGTGACTATGCAACTGGGCTCATATTACTAGCTGCAACATCACAAAAATGACACTGGCAACCGCTAATTAGCTGGCAAAATAAGAATTTGTCCATTTTTAAAGTGAGCAGTGTTAGTAAATGCCATTGCACACAGCGAGAAGTGATAGCATAATAGATATATATTTTAAGCAAAGCCCTCACATGTGATGCTAATTATCTTTTAGCTTAGCAGTCCCTCTTTAAAGTGTAAATGTGCTCCCTCTGGGCTTCAGAAATATTTAATGACACATATCAGTGCATGACTAACAAGCTAGTCCAGAGCAATAATGATTGGTCTATTGTTCAAAATGAAATTAGGACTCCAGAAGCATTTAAAACTGACCAGTGGTTTCCTTAGTAGCCTCACCTCTCAGGGACTGTCTTTTGTACAGATTTGTAAAGTATATAGAATAATATCTTTTTGGCAATTTATTCCTACATTATGAAAGTATGATAGATTATTCAGCAAGGTTTAATGTATTTGCTAGATGCAAAATCATCTAAATCACTGTCTGATACACAGTAAGAGAAATGTAAGCTTTCAGTTTTCAAAGAGACTTGCAAAATTTACTTCAATAAAAATGTTGAGGTCCATATTTCCACAGACTCTGGGCAAGGTAATTTTGGGAATCCAATTTTTCTTGGTGATGAATTATAAAAAATAGAGGGTTGGTTATGTATATGCTTAATTTCATATATGTATGTGTGAATATATAAATATACACACATATCCATATATATATACAAACACACTGAATGCACATAAAAACATAGATAAGATTAAAAGAAATGAGAGCAGCCCCTTCCTAGCACTACCCTACTAAGAGTATGGTAGCACTGTCAGACATTTTTCTGGGGGCTTTATGACTCAGCTGTTGTAATCCAGCAGAGTCTGTACTTTCAATAGAAAGCTTCAGGTGCAAAACATGTATTGTATAAATGAATTCCAAATACATTATTTTAGCAATAGTGCATTAGTTTTTTTGTCATTAAAAAAGAACAAAAAAGAAAAAACAACCCGAAGATCAGATGACCAAGAAAACTGAGATTCATAGACCAGCTATTGTGCATGCCAAAATTCCTTTTCAGGTGGAATTTTACTATGCATTCAGTACTATGAGTTCATTGTACAAAATCTGCACGTAGCAAATGATTACAGTACCCTACACTGGACTGTGAATACATGTGAAATGAACACTCAGAATTCAATTAAATCTTAACAGGTTCATTCCCATACTGGCTTAAAATACAAAGATTGGCAGCTCTGCTACTTTTCTCATCTAGTTATCATTTTTCTTTTTCAAAGTATTGCACAACACTTCTTCCACACGGCTATTTAACCCTTACACAATGTCACTCTAAGAGGCGCTTTCCTGGCGGCGTGAACTGTGACTTACTGTGGATCTAATCCTGCAGCTCACGCAGGGACCTCAATCCTTACTGAAACGAGTCAGAGGCGAGGTGCTCTGAACTTCAGATGTCCTGGCTGTACAGGCTCATTTATGCTCCAGTTAGAATTGTGAGCAGATTTGCCACTAACTTTGAAAAGGGCAAAGCCGGATGTTGCACCAGCTCTGTGCTGCAGCCTCACACAGCTTAATGGAACCGAGTCACAATCCTCACTACAAAAATTCACTACAGGCAACTTCCTCGGTGCCACAAGCAAAGGGAAATCAACCTATAAAAATCATATTAAAGTTGAACCCAGAGAAGAAAACCTTGAAAATTCAATTACAATTTCAACTCCATTCTATGGCTGTGCTTCCTTGCTCCACTGCTGCTTTTGTGTTGTGACTCTGTAGTATATCCTTACATCCTCACCTAGCCATAGCTCCAAGTGACTCAGAGCAGCTGCACTCCATTACCTGACCTGCACCGTGTGAGATGTCTCTCTGCTTTGAAAAGCCTTGCAATACGTACAAGAATACTGAGTACATGAAGGGTGGCATTTAGCCCTAAATTTTTAAGGGTAGAATTTTGCCAACAGACAACTGTGCAACCAGCTCCTGCTGGCTGTATGCCAGCTCCTCCCCTCGGGTGCAGATGCACAACTTTGACTCGCATCAGTCAGAGCTCCCAGCGCTCGTTGAAAGAAACAAGTTTGGATCTTTTGAGCTCTGAGCCCCGTGTAATCACTTTGGGGGGTTGTAGATAATATTGTAGAGCAGAGAGAACAGCACGTGATCCCACAGGCCGCTGGTGGATGGAGCACCAACTCCCCAAACCTCCTGGAGATTCTTTTCATTAGTCATAAGCGCGTCGCTGTGGATTAGCTGGTACACGCTAACACCTACACGTGATGCACTGGGCATGGTTTGCAATCAAATGAAGATTATTTCGCTCCAGTATTTATCATGCATGGCTTTCATTTTCAAATTAAAATTTAGATAGGCACAGCAAACATTAGAGAAGGTGGAAGGTGGTGAGGACTTTCACAGCTTTTGCCTTTGTATATTTGTATTTTAAAGCCACACTGACTTTCTTTAAAGTTCCAAAGGGTACCCTTTGTCAATATTTTCATCTGCTTTCTCAAGCTTCCACCTTCCTGCAGCCAAAGGTCTGCAGACCTCGCTGTTGGATCCTTATGAGCAAATGGTACCATGGGAATGATGTTATCACCGTACGACTCCATTGTGATTCTTTTTTTAAAGCTCACACTTTCTAATTTACTTGTGAAAGTCCTTATATAAGGATCTTGGGGGAGTCACACGAAAAGCCTGGAAGTTGCAGAAATTGATAAATACTTGAAAAACAAAGAAATACAGAAGCATTGAGATTATACAAAAGTAGGAAAGGTATCGATCTCTAAATGCAAAATGAATATGTCAAACCCAGGCAGCATCTCTGTGTGAGGCAACGCTAGACATCAACCTACTGACGATATTTCTCTTGGTTTAGCACTTGGCATTACAGGCTGAGGAGCCCACTTTCAACCCAAAAATCTTTAAAGGAAAAAAAAAAAAGCACTAGTTCCTCAGACCCGTATGGTCTTAGAAGAAGCGCCATACTTTGTGCTTTACCTGCGGAAATCCAGAAGGGATCTGGTGGAAGCAGGAGCCCTCTGATCGTTCCAGCTGAGGAAGTGGAACTGGGTCACTGTGCGGGTCTCGTTGGTCTGCAGGTTCTTCAGGTAGAAGCTCCTCACGAGGAAATCCTCGCACCAGATGTGCTCAGAGACAAGATTTACCTACACCCACAGGAAGGAAAAAATGGAGATCAGCAATTCTGGTTGCAAGTCATGTCTCCAGGATTGCAGGTGTAAGATTTCTGGGATGAAGAAAGTTGCACGAAAATTTTATTTTTATTAGCAAATTGGCCAGTATTAAGGGAAAAAAAAATCATTTAGCAATCAATGTAGCTGTCAGAAAGGGGTTAGCTGCCATTGCTCTTGCATAGAAAATATAAGAAAAATCTTGACAATTTTAATGCAAAAGGAAAATTCACTGAATTATATCTTTATAACATTATGTGAACAAAAAAGATATTTTGTATTGAAAATGTGTTAGACTGGCAGCTCTTTTCTTTTCAGAAATGTCTACAAATGCATTGTCCAGCCCACCCTCAGTGGTCTTAAAAATCTGAGTTGAATTCACAAGAGAAGTAAAAATTAGGTTTCTTTTGCTATTAAGAAAAATAAACATTTAAAAATGCAGGTTATTTGCAGAGCTCATCTTTTCAGAAAATGATTTTATTCTCCTTTTAGTTTAAATAACAGAATTACTTCACAATTTCTCCACATTTCTTCATATTTGGCATTGTGGTATTATTATCTTCCTCTACACAGCTGGACCACTGGAAAAATCTGACAGTCGTTGTCAATGTTGCATTGCAACATAACTTGTGATATTTTGGGCTAGAAATGCAAAGCAGAAAATAAAAATATATATTTGTTGTGACTGAGGCAAGAGATAAAAATAGATAGGATTAATTACTACAGCAATATAGAGGTTTTTCTACAAAGATTTACATATGGCTATCCTAAGGCAAAATCCACTAGTTCTAAAAATACTAGTTTCCTATAAAACACAAATACACGCTTTCATATATCAACCACTTGCAAAACCATTCAAAATGCAAACATTATTGTCCTTTTTAATATTGCAATATTTCACCCACTATTTACTATACTTTATTCGGTGGAAAGCACCTTGCTGTTAAAGCTGCACTCCAATTTTTTTTGCAAATACAGAACTATCCGAAGGCACACCAAATGTATTTCAGAGTATGCAGCTCGACCTTCGGGTTAGAGCACCTCCAGCATCCTTCTGCCCTTATGGAATCAGCCCCTGCACTTACTGTCACGTTTGCAACCAGAAATTTTGTGCAGGTACCTCGTAGATGTGGTAGAGGTTTGACCCTTCGTCTGGCCAATAGTGGTAGCACTGTTTGACTCCGTTTTCCACGAGGGGTGTCAGCATGACAATAACGACACAGCCGTTCTCCCAGACCATCTGCAGACAAAGAAAGACACCGTGGCCACATTGTGACTGCCTAATTACTGCGTGACATGTATAATTACTGCACTCAGACACACAATCAAAATTTATTCCATTCACAGGAAATTTATTTCATTTTCATTAGACACTTTTACTCTGCAGCTGCTTTCAAATCCCTGAATAAACTGGTACCATATTTTGCAGGCGGCCATGAAATATTAAAGAATTTCCTGCGATTTCAATTCAGGTCATCCCCAAAATCTCTGCTGGCTCCCCGTACCATGTTCAACTGCTTTTCTGTCCAACTTTTAGATCCACTAAAGGAACACTGAATGATGCTTGCAGAACACCCATCTATTTAAGATATGATATTTAACACTGAAGCAAGCACAGACCTACTAAAGTCACATGTACTGAAACCTGTTTGTGTTCTCAACCCCATGTCTTTTCTCAGTTTGTCAAGCAGCAAAAACCATTAAAGTGCTGCATTGCTGAAACGATCATAAAAGTTGCATCTGAACCACAGTAATGAAGAAAAGGCAGAGAAAATTCTTGTTTTTTCCAGAAACATTTTGGATAGAGAAATCATACCTCCAAATGCACATTTATAAAAGATTCATTGCAAATGTGCATTACTTTCTTTTTCCTTCTTTCTTTCCTTCTAACTTTCCTTTGTCTTCTTTCTTCCTTTGTCCCTTTTTAAATTTTTTTTCTTTTTATTTTCCTTTTTCTTTCCCTCTTTTCTACTTTATTTTTCTTATTTTTTTCCTCCCCTCCTCCTTTCTCTTTTCTAGTTCTGTTTTCCCCTTTTCTCCCCCCTTTTATTTTTTCCTGGAGGTAGAATGAAAGTCCAACTTGTGCTGCAGACAGTGCACTCACAGAGCACAGGTACAGCAGAAGCAGAGGAAAACAGAGTATATTCCTGTCAGCATGATCAGTTAATAATTTAGACCAGCCACAGAGGAGGATAGAAGAATCAAGCACATCCTCAACTAAAGGATTTGTGGATGTCTCTCACAAACACCAAACAAGCAGAAATGCTCTGGTCTGGCATATCTCTGTTCCAAACAGCCCATGACTGAACAAAAAGGCTCCTATGAATTAATACCAAGCAGCATAATCACTAAAAACTGTTATTATTATGCTGTACATTGATGTTATATTTGCCTACAACTTTCATTGTCTTATTGCTAGCATATAAAATTACTAAATGAAGAGTAAACTGCTCTTTTTGTGAAGGGTTATGTTTATTTCACAGAAATATTTATAAGCAACTGTATTGACATGTAAATTTTGTCAACAAAAAAGGCTTTTGTCTAAAATGTGCAAAGAAGAGATGATACATTCAATTCAAGGATTATTTTTTAAATTACATATCAAATAAAAAGGTTTCCCATTCATGGATAATGATGTTGTCTTCTCTTTTAAGAATAGCTTGCATATAGAGAAACAAATAATGTTTTTCTTCCCTTATTTCATTTTGCAGCATAATTAAAACTACTTTTAAAACAGGCTTAGAATTATTTAGAGAAATGAATCTAGGGTTTACACAGAATAGGGTTATTTATCATTTTGAAAAGAAGTGGGGTGAAAAATTACAGTGGAATTTAGGAAAAATATTTTAATTTTTAGCCCCTTAAAAAATGCTTTTTAAATAAAAATGTTTGTAATTTCCTCATCCTCACGTTAAAACCTCACAATGCCACAAAACCATTTAAACATACTTTAAAATTATAGACAATTTACAGATAGATGTATATTTATCATTGTATCTTTTTTGTACTACATTTGTTTCAGGCCACAGCTGGAAACCTTCTTTATATGTAAGGAAGATGATACAGATTTCTTTCATTCTAAAATAGTTTCACCTTTTTCAGTCAGCAATCAGACTAAGATAAGAATTCAAAACATGCATCTTACTTTAAAACTAGCCCCACTAAATCAGTACTTTCATCACATAACGATTTAATGTGCCTCTAGAAGGTATAGAAGCTCATTGAAGCCATTACGAAAATGAGGAGAAACACAGTTTTTATGAGTGTAATAAAAATACAATGATCTAGACCATAAACTAATCATCGAGCACTCTGCTTGTGCCACCCAAGTGTAACGTTATAAAAGCCCACTCATTTAGAGAGGAATCCTTACAGTTTGGCAACCCTGTTCATTGGTTCAAAGACAGAGCATTTCATTAGAGAGGGGCTGTCTGCATCTCTGAAGATTTCATTAAGCATAAATCCAAATGAAAGTTAATTTAAACAAACAATTTCAAAGTTACTCTGGGGTATAATATTTCTTTTAGGTCATTGTGTGAAAAGTAGAAGTCAAATCTACTAAATCAAGAAGGCAATGCAATGTAGTGCCTCCATTCCTGTTACAAGCAACTGCCCCTGCATCTCCTGTGCTTACCATTGAGATGGGATTTTCACTAAGGCTCACCACCTGTGACTGGAGGACTACAGCATTTTCATTGTTTCCTTGCTGATTTAAATATTAGAACATCAGCTTGGTATCTATTACCACGTATTTCCAAATAACTTGGAAGCAGGATGAGTCAAAGGCAGCTCACAGTTTTACACTGTCATCTGTTTACCTCCTCATCTTTCAGCAACTGATGGGGTTTTCAGAAGCTGCATCTCCCAGCACTTCACACTTGGCTGTGCTCAGTGTCCAGACACACTCATAAACTACAAAGTGGCCCCAAGAATGTGTCTTGGTAAAGAAAGAACTGGACTCAGACCTGGTCTGCACAATCCCAGCACAGCCTCTGAAGTGCCTGTGGTTACCAAAGAGACATTTCAGCAGGCCTTGGAGAATGGAGGAAGAAGTTCAACTGCAAACATGCAGTAATTCACATATTTCTGAACTTTGTATGCTTGCAGAGAAGAATAAAGAGGATAGCAGCTCCACAGAGCACAGGCTTTTCTTTTTATGTAGCACCCAGCAAAATTAAGCCTTAGACTCTAAGTTTCTACAAAAACTAAATATATTTATATATATACGCATCATATAATATACACATGTATATATTTGCAATATATAAAACTAATTTTATTTTATTTTACTTTTTAAAAATCACTTAGCACAGGCAGGCTCATGTTTGTAATTCATGGTAATATTTTCAGCAAAAGAAGAAGAAATGTTGAATGGAGTCCTGTGAAAGCCCAAGTTCTGTACAGGAGCTCACTGCAGAGCCTGCAGTGCATTCTTTGCTGAAAAGGGAGGACACTGCATGATTTTGTATGAGATGTCCACCTGTAGGCCTAGAGAATAACATGTTAATGATCTTTAATGAGGTTCTGCTGTATGCATCATTCTCAGAACACTTCTTGGACAAGAATAACACCATCCTGTTCCATTTGCTGCAAATTAAAGGCTGAATCCTGCAACCCAAAGATGAGCAGAGCATTTGTGATCCTCAGAATTCCCTGTTGATGAAATCCACCAAGTGTAGAGACCTCATGCTGTGGTTATCCAGCATTGCCAGCTCCATATAAAAGGCTTCCACATTGGGATGAATTATATTTAGTAAGAATTACTTGAAAAGAAGCACAGAATTGGTTTTTCATGTAATGATAAAAACAAAGTCACAAATAGCAGTGTTACAACAATGCCATAAATCTGATAAAACATCAGTTTTTGATAGTTTATACTTTAAAATGTCCTTGTTTACTAGCTTGTAAATAAAATTGTTAATATGAACCCCTTTTCTTTTTCAGACACTTTATCACTTTGAAGCTTCTTTTTATAATAAATAATTCTTCTCAAACTCCTTTTTCAGCCATTTCTGTCATTTTTGTGATGGGGAAATGACAAGATATGAACTCTGCCCAGACACTCTTCATTTAATGGAGACTAGTAGAGAGATTTCCAAAATGCAATGATTTAGAAGTAGAAAATAGATGGGATAATCAGTTAAATCAATCCAGTTCACTAAATATAACCTGCAAATCACACCAGCTGCTCTCTGGGAGAGACCTCCAGCAAACTACAGAATTTACTTTTTCAGTCTTTTAGGCTTCCCATACAATTGGTATAACTGGTAAATACAAAGACTTGGGAAAGCAGATGAAGAAGCAAAGAGAACCCAAATAATTTCTGATAATCAAAACTCAATATTAATAAACAGGACTCCTAAAAAACAACACAAGGTGCTAACCCTTGCTGCATCAGATAGCATTCATCCCATTACATATTGTGAAAATAATTAACTCAACTGTGATGTCTTTCAAGCTTTTAAAAAAATTAGGATCTTCTAACTGAAGGAAAAAATTGTGTTGAATTTAGATTTTTGTTACCAACTTCACAATTACCAAATTCACTAGTCAGAAAGTCATACAGACTTTTTTATTAAATATTTTGTTTGTAAATGACATAATTTTAATATGAAATGGGTCAAATCTGGCAAGGGGAGAATTGCCATTTGTAAATCATAACGGTGCCTGAAAGTTAAGCAAATTTGTAGAATGAAAGATTAATGGTCAACAATCTGTACTTAATTTAAAAAGTATCTGACTGCAGCTGGAAAAATGACTTCAGAGAGAACCATACATAAATACACACTTGTATTGTGTCCCCTTTCTGCTGTAGCAACACTTATTTGAAAGTCATAGGGAAAGGCAAATTCAAGATGACTGTATGTGTTGCAATAATTTCCCTTTCTGCTTTTTCATAGAGACATAAACTGTTCTTATTCTTCTCAGTAGATTCATAACAAGCCTTATTATTAAGTAATTTAAACATGAGCTTTGTTTAGAGCTGCACCGCTGACAAAACTACATTAAGGAGCAAAAGTCCACCAAAATAATTAGAAATTAGCTTTTCCTTTAGTACTGAAAATGTGGAAACTAAACAATACAGGGCTACAAATTTTAAGGGACCATTTCTAAGTACCTTCTCCAACCAGAGCCATAATTAGAGGGAGCATGGTAAAAGCAGACTCCTTCACTGAACGCTTATGGAATTTCTAATGCTGTATTTATTTCTCATGGCATGACAAGTTACTAGAGCTCTAG